GTCGATCATCGAGGAACTCCGCGAAGCCGGTCTTATTATAAATTAAATCGCATATCAATGAAACGTGTCAGTCGAGTGACAACAGCGAGAAAATATACGTTATTTTTTGTACCTTGTGTATTACGCGTCGAATCATGAAAAAGAGATCCGATGAAAAGGGAAAAGTTAGCTCCGAGAGACGTCGACTCGTCGAAGAATTGCACGCTCCGGCGAGAAGAAATTTTCCGCGAAGACGCGTAGTCTCATAGTCCGAGGATATGATGATCTGTGGCAGGCTGACATCGTTGAGATGCATCCATACTCACGTTTCAACAGAGGTTATCACTACATACTCACCGTCATCGATGTGTTGAGCAAGTACGCGTGGGCCGTACCGCTCAAGAGTAAAGGTGGAAGCGAGACGGCTGAAGCTATCGCTGAGATAATTCGAAAGAGCAAAAGATATCCAAAAAATCTACAGACCGATATGGGAAAAGAATTTTACAACGTTGATGTGTAACGGCTCTTGAAAAAACACAACATCAATCAATATTCAACGTATTCCGTAATGAAGGCATCAGTCGTCGAGCGATTCAATCGCACATTAAAAAACGATATGTGGAAGATGTTTACACTTAACGGTGCGACCGAGTCCAGGACCCGTCCGCGGCTCCAGGTCCCATAGGAGGGGACGACAACGAACCACAGACCACCGAGAGGCGAAGCGGCGGCAAAGTAGAATAAGTTAACTTATGTAAATACAAATAAAGGAAGAGAAAAATAAAAAAGAGAATACATATAGTAATATAAGCTCGGTGGAGGGTAGATTAAGTTATAGATGTAAGACGCGGCCATGAGCCGCAGTGATATAGGGAATAAGGTCGAAATCGCGCGGCGGAGGCGCGGAAAAAGGAGCCAGCGCCATCGGGGGCGCAGGCGGCAGACCGGCGGACCGAACCAAGTACTTTGGACACCCACCGTGAAGAGAGCGGAGGACCCACAGCCAAGGGACCAATGACAGGACATAGGGAAGGCGCCAAGGGAGTCGGCTACGGCGGGACATCCGAGAATCCGCAACCGGAAGCCAAACCGATACCCGGGGTGATGCCGGCGCACAGAGCAAGAGAAAGCGAAGGAATCGCGAGCGAAGGGAAAGCTTGGACACCCGCCAGACGAGATCAGAACAAAAAAAACGAAACATTGGAGACCGTAGGCAGATGGGAAAAGATCAACCCAAGGTGGCTACGGAGGAAAAACCGGAAAATCCGGCACGCGGGAAGCCGGAAACGAGGGACAACCGAACGGGCACCCGACAGGCGCAAGGTTCAACGCACGAGCGGGACGCAGCGGACCGACCGAGAAGGGGAAACCCACAAGAAGTATAAGAAGCGGGAGCAGAGGAGCAGCGAGGGCAGTCATAGTCGAAAGGCAGTCATAGTCAAAAGGCAGTCATAGTCGAAACGCAGTCATAGTCGAAACGCAGTCATAGTCGAAAGAGAGTCATAGTCGAAAGGCAGTCATAGTCGAAACAGAGTCATAGTCGAAAGAGAGTCATAGTCGAAAAGCAGTCATAGTCGAAACAGTGTAGTCGAAACCGAAGAGCAGTAGTCAAAAACCGGGTAGCGAGATCGGGAGGCCGGCTGCGCGTTGACGGAGCGCGAAGGGATCGCAGGGAACGGCGATAATAAGTTGTACGCGATCGGGAATTACCGACCAGTAATGGACGACGAGAACACTTTCGCAGAATAAAGTACCGTTTGTAATCAGAATCAAGACTAATCAGTTATTAAGACCTGTCCAATTATCTACCAAGGACATAGGCGCCGCCCCGCACACAGGTGAGGTGAGTAGCACGGCGCAACAACAAAGTTCGAGGAGAAGACAGCAGGGCACCCTTCGTTCTTGGAGGAAAAAGAACGTGGCGACCGTGAGACAAAGAAGTAGATAGGACACAACCGAAGGTCCCGGAGCGAGCGATTCCGGTGACAACGGAAACTATAAGTGGATCGATGCGCTGTCGCAACTTGTATCAGATTATAACACGCGCAAGCATCGAACGATCCATATGCGACCCGTCGACGTTACTCCCGCGATCGCTGAAAAACTCTTGACCACAGTATACAGCAACGTAAAGATCGCGGGT